GAGAGGATGCCGTGACCAGGGAGAAACGCAGGGAGATACCACCTGGAGAGAGGTGCCCAGTGAGGCAAGAGAGCTAATCCCCAGAACAGCCAGCTGGAGGCGCCAGGGTGGTGAGTCCGCCCTGCAACAGTCATGTACAACAGTGAAGAGAGAGTCTATGGATGTAACTATAACAACTTCTTGATCATGTGTCATCAACACTGAGCTGTTATCATTGATTGTTACACATAAGCTACAGAATTAAATTAATCTGTTCTTAGCTGAAGAAGGCTGGTGTCCTGGATTGGGGGAACCAGGTGCTAGGTCTGGGAGGTTGTTTGTGGGTATCTCCAGCTTGGCCTGTCCACCCTCACCATAGTTTCTCTGGCAGTTCCTAGTGCCATATCTGTTGGTGCTGCTGCTTTTGCTGTGTAGCTGCATGTTTGGCTCTTGAGAATGTTCTTGTCCAGTTAGTATTTTGATTGCTATTGCTTTTCTGACCAAGAAGTCCTTGAACATTTGGTCACCAATTTGATGACATCTGTTGTTCTTTCACATGTAATGGGAGACCATGGGAAGGTTGCATAGGCATGGACATCTCCTCTACAAATGGAAAATTTAAGGATCACTATATTGTGACTGTTGTGAGGTACAGCTATGCAGCACATCAGACAACAGCCCCTTTCACGCTTATAGGCTACGTCTACACTGGCATGAATTTCCAAAAATGCTTTTAACAGAAAAGTTTTCCGTTAAAAGTATTTTCGGAAAAGCGCGTCTAGATTGGCAGGATGCTTTTCCGAATTAGCACTTTTTGCGGAAAACCGCCGATCGCCTTTTTCACGATCTGGCCTTTTTTGCGGAAAACAGTATTATGCTGTCTACACTGGCCCTTTTGCGCAAAAGTCTTTCGGAAAAAAGACTTTTGCCCAAACGGGAGCAGCATAGTTTTTCCGGAAAAGCACTGATGATTTTACATGAGATCGTCAGTGCTTTTCCAGAAATTCAAGCAGCCAGTGTAGACAGCTGGCAAGTTTTTTCCGGAAAAGCAGATGATTTTCTGGAAAAACTTGCCAGTCTAGACACAGGCATACAGTGATGGCATAAGGGGAATCCATCTAGCTACACCAGGACTATGTCTACATTGGCAAGATTTTGCGCAAATACTTTTAATGCAAGAGTTTTTGCGTTAAAGTATTTGCGCAAGAGAGCATCTACACTGGTATGTGCTTTTGCGCAAAAGCATCTGTGCCAGTAGAGACGCTCCCTTGCGCAAGAAAGCTCCGATGGCCATTTTAGCCATCGGGCTTTCTTGCGCAAGAAATTAACATTGCCTGCTTTTGTGCAAAATCTTGCCAATGTAGACACAGCCTCAGGAGTATTAGAATGCCTTTTGTATTGCAAGATTCCATTATAATCTCAGACCATTGCATTTGAAATGCCCCATAAGAAAAAAAACACATTTTTGTTCCTGCCTGTTTTCCTGAACAAGGAATGTAAGAGATGGAAAATGGTAATAGTTAACATATTAAATCTTAGCTAACCACAATGGAACTTCACAGAACAAAGAAGAGGCAAGGTTGTGGTTCATGGACTTTTCTGCTGAAGACTAGCAAAACTCAGCAGCACCAAAAAGTAGCAGAGGTGGCGAGGGATGGATGTGAGAGCTTCTCAAAGAAAGGAATCTTTTATAATGGAAAAAAATAGTAACCTAAATGTAAGACACACTACAGACTCCTTATAGTATAATTCCTGCCCTGCCTATGGGATATCAGCATGATTTGAGTGCAGGAAATGTAGATCTACCACATAGACTTCTTCCAGTTCAGCCATAGGAGCAATGGCTTGTGATTTGCTATTATCTAGCCATAGAGGAAGACACAGGCTACACTTTGCCAGTGGGACACACAGCTCTTTGTGAGGCAGCAGAGGAATGTTGGGTGTTAAGATTCCTGGGTTATATTCATGACTGTATGGGCAAAGTGTGGTGTAGGGGTTAGAGATAGTACAGTTAGGACCATTCCTTCTGAAAGGCAGCATGAAGCACTGGCTGAAATTTGGCTTTGCCATATCAGAAACCTGGATTCCCCATCTCTATCTCTGCCTGTACTGTCTGTGTCCATCTCCCAGTTACCTCAGTGGTGGAATGGGTTCATGACAGGACAGGTAGAAACGTGAGGCCTTAGCTGGTGATAAGGGTTGGGGAAGCACACAAATGCTGATTGCAATCAGTGGAAGAACTGGGCTTAGAACTCCCAGGTTGCATCTTAGAGCCCCAGCCCCCATATAGAGCACAAGGCCTTTCCCCTGAGCTGCGGGAATGCGTGACAAACCTGTTGCATGTATGAATGTTATACGAGATGCATATCATTCAGCAGCTTTGCCCCTGGCGGCCACACGCTGGCCCACTGCCCTGCCCCTCAGCTTGCCTGACATTGCAATGGTAGCTCCATGGAAACAGGAGGGCATGGGAAAGGGGGGTGGATGGTAATGGAGGCAGGTGCACAGGCCTCACAGAGCTCCTGATGGACACTAGATTGGAACTTGAAGCCCCAAATGAAAATCTCCTCCTTGCTCTCCACTGACAGCATCCCTGCCTCTCCTCCCTTCCAGCCCAGTGCACCTAGCCTGGGTCCCTGTTACTCCTGCCCCAAAGTCCTTGCTGTTCTTTGCAGTTCCCTTGCAACCTAGGGCATGGCTACACAACAGAGCTAAAGCAGAGATAAGCTACACAACTTGAGCTATGACAATTGTGTAGCTTAAATTGAAATAGCTTATTTTGGCTTTAGGCACTGTCTACACAGCAGGAAGTATAAGGTAGAGCACTCTTCCTCCCACTTCCCTTACTCCTCTTACAATGAGGGTTACAGGAGTCAGAGTAAGAAGTCCTCCAGTTTGATAGTATTTTGACATGTCAAAATAACTACCTGCTGTGTACATGCAGACTCTGTTATTTTGGAATAACGCCAGTGGTTCTGAAGTAACGTTACTGTGTAGACATAACCCTAGATTCCTATACAAATCTAGCTATCCATTTATTATCTCTTTGCCCACCACTATTGTCACTGAACCAGTGATGGGATCTCTTGCAGACAAGCCAAGAACCAAGCAGCCATGGAAAATGAAGAGTGACACTAGAGAAGATACCTCCAGGTACAGGGAGTTGAGTGCAGAGGGTTGTGTACCCCTTGCCTGGGACACCCCAGGTCACATTCTCCAGGAGCTGCTGAGCTAGGCTCTCCCCAGCACTGAGTGGCACCCACGCAGGTACATTCTGTATGAGAGTTTGTCTCTGGTGGGAACACTTTGCCCATCAACCCCAGTGCACTATATTTGCACACAGCGCAAAGCCATGGCTACAGTAGGCTTTGAAGTACATCCAGCTCTGCCCTGCAGTACAGAGACACTCCCCATCCTGGGTCTGAATGGGCTGACTGGGACTACTTCCCTTCCACAGCCATTGCCAGCTGCCAGGAAGGAATTAGCAATGGGCAGTGGGGGATTTAGAGTTAACGGGGCCCTGTGCTCAGCTTCATGTTGCCCCCCTCTTGGGACCCAGCCAAGAAAAACATTCTCTCTCATCTTCCCTCCTCCCCTTCTCCTCCTATATTACAAGTATAGGAAGAAAATAACAATAAAGTGAGTTCTCCTGATTGTTTTTGTAATCTAACTTTTTTTCCCCTCACAGGCCACTTAAAATGGCTGAGGGTCTCAGTGGATCACTTAATGATCTCTCCAAATGTTGTTTATACTGTTAGCTAACTACTGTAAAGTGCTTTGGATAAGAGAATGCTTTATTTTTAAAAAAAGTAGTAACCTTTCTTCGGTTCATCTGACAGGAGTTGTTGGGCTAGAATTTGAGATCCTAAGATCTAGATGAAAGTTGATATTTGCATTGTGCCAATGTGAAAAACTTGTAAAAATAAAAGTATAGATGATGTGCCTCAAATGTTTTATTATTTCCCTAGGCATAACATACAGGAGGGGCAATCAAAATTAGTCTGTCAGAGCAACATGCATGAGAACTATCTCTGGACAGAGAAGCAATTGATTGAAATCACATTCTCTGAGCTCTTGTTGGAGCCAAATCCTGTTCCCCTTAAGATCAAAAGGAGTTTTGCTGGTGAGTTCACGGGGAACAGGTTTTGACGTTTGGAGAGGAAACAACAAACCCAATCCAGCAAGGGCTATCCTGCTTATTATACCACAGGGATCAAAGGCTCCTGGCTCATGTGAGAAAGTCAGGGGGTGCGGCTCCCGGGGGGCCCTCCCCTGCCATTGTCGCACAGCAACGATCATGTACAAAATCTCTGTCTCTACAGCATCACTGAGGGTAAGGGGTCAGAGCAGCATAGGGGTTCAAGGAAGGATATAGAAGGGAGCTTATGTGGTGTCCAATGATCACTCCGGTCTGGTCTAAATAGAGTTAGGTCAGTTTAACTTCATTACTCAGGGCCCTGAAAAATGTCATGCCCTGTGTAGTTAGGCCAATGGGAGGTCCCGTGTGGTCACCACTTGGAAAGAATTCTTCCTGTGACATGGCTGCTGCCTGCTGGGAGGTGGATTTAGTGGAGCGAGGGAAGAACCCCTCCTGTCTTGTCATAAGTGTCCACACGACCGCGCTGCGATGGCGCCTGCTTTGTTCTGTGTCAGGTTCCAACTTGCAACTGGCTGTGCCTAACAAGCACGTCGCAGCGCCTTGCTAGGGAAGCTCAACGCTTAAAGGCACAGACCCCAATTCCCCGGACTAAGCCTCAAACTCCAGGTGCCCTTCTACCCCTGAGCATCCCCAAGGCTCATGGGATTAAGACTCCATGAGCAGTGCCACCCCCATTCCAAACACTGAGGACAGAGGAATCTGTATCACCCTCCTTTCCATGTGCCCTATCTGACAAATAACACACCAGACACCTCCCCTCTGCTGTCACCTTCAGAGCAGAAGCAGCAAGTCCCCTAGGGCCAGAAATATGGGGAGAGGGCGGAGCGTCACGCTTAGTCCTGTAATGCCTGACGGCCTCTCCAGCTGCACAGCACAGACAGAGCTGAGCCCAGCAGCACAAACAGGGGAAGCAGGACAGCCTGCAGCACTCAGTACTGTGCTGCTGGAGAAGGTGAGAGGCTTGGGGCAGGCAGGGGAGCGGGGGTCATGCAGTCCAGTCACTGTCCCAGACAAAGGATAGGCACACAAAGGGGCACGACTAGGTACCCCCAAAACCAGCGCCAGAAAGCCGGGTTAGTGCACTGAACAACATGGAGCCCAGCAGTTCCAGACATCTGGCAGCCAGTGCCATCTGATCAATGGTGAGATTGTTACACGGTTCTGCTTTGGTGAGATTGTTACGTGGCTTTTATCGGGTGAGATCATTCTGCAGCTCTGCCTGGTGAGATATTTTAACAGCTCTGTCCCGGGGAAATTGTTACACAGTGCTATCCTGGAGAGATCGGTAGATGGTTTTGTCCGGTAAGATTGTTACATAGTTTTGTCTGAAATTATTATTGTGCTCGGTCTGGGTGAAAATGTGATGTGGCTCAGTCCCAGTGAAATCATTACATGGTTCTGCCCAGTGAGATTAAGAACTGGTTCACTGGCTGAGCTTAAAAAGCCGATGATCGATTGTTAAAACAGAAGAGACCACTGTGATCATCTAGTCTGATCCCCAGAACTTCCTTGAATTAGTTCCTGTTTGAACTAGAGCGTATCTTTGGGAAAAAAATCTTTCAATCTTGATTTAAAAATTGCTAGTGTTGGAGAATCCATCATGATCCTTGTAAAATTGTTCCTGGGGGTTAACTACTCTCATTGTTAACAAGAATTATATGTAATTTTGAGTCTTGATTTGTCTCGATTCAGCTTCCAAGCATTGGGTCTTTTTATGCCTTTGTCTGCTAAATTGAAGAACTCATTATCAAATAGTTCCCCATGTAGGTACTTACAGACAAGTCATCACTTTCTCTGATAAAATAGACTGAGTTCTTTAAGTATATCACTATAAGACATATTTCCTAATCGTTTCATCATCCTCATGGATCTTTTCTGAGCCCTCTCCTGTATATCATCATCCTCTTGAACTGTGGACACCAGAACTGGAACCAGTCTCCCAGTACCAGTCAGATCTGTGCCAAACACAGAAGTAATATATCCTCTCTACTCTGCTCTAGATTCCCTTGTTTATGCAATCAAGGATTGCTAGAGCTCTTTAGGGCACAGTGTTGCTGGGTCTTCATGTTTAGTTAATTATCCACCATGATGCCCAGGTCTTTCTCAGAGTCCCTGCTTTCCAGGGATAGCATCACCATCCTATAAGCTTGGCTTACACTCTTTGTTCCTATCTACATGTCTTTTCATTTGGACATATAAAAATACATATTATTTGCTTATGCCCAATTTATTACACATAGGGTCAAGAATTGATCTTTACAGCACCTCACTACAAATGACCCTCTCAATGATGACTCCTCCTCTTTACTATTACTTTTTGAGACTTATCAGTTTTTAATCCATTTAATGTGTGCCATATTGATTTTGTAACAATGTCACATTAAATTTGTCTGAATAGTTATCAGTGGGGAACCCATCATAGAATGAGGATGCTTCTATAAAATCACTGCTTATAAAATGTGTGAGGCTATGTCTACACAGCAGTGTTATTCTGAAATAACATAATCCACATCTACACAGCAAACAGTTATTTTGACATAATGTCAAAATAATGTGGAGCTAGAGGACTTCTTACTCCGACTCCTGTAACCCTCATTGTACGAGGAGTAAGAGAAGTCGAAGGAAGAGTGCTCTTTCTCGGACTTCCTGCTGTGCACACAGCACCAAAAGCCAAAGTAAGCTATTTTGACTTTAGCTACGCAATTGACTTAACTCAAGTCATGTAGCTTATTTTGACTTTAGCCCTGCTGTGTAGATGTGCCCTGAATGACACAAGGACTGGCAAAGTGATACAGAGCAATCTGGATTGCTTGATAAGCTGGGCCAAATTCAAATGAAATGTTTTTAATGTAGAGACAGGCAAGAGAATTTTGGTAGGTGGTAAACTTGCCAGAATCCATTCTGGGGGCATCAAAACTATTTGTGAATTTACATTGAAGTCGGTGAGTAGTTTTGACCAGAAAAGAAAATGCTTCATCCTGACATTTCATTTTTAAACAGTATTTTGTTTTAAATTTAGCTATTTAAAAAACGCAAATACTAAAAAGGGTGAAAAATATCTAAAAATGATCAATAACAAAATGAGAAAATGAAAAAAAAATATTTTGGGTCAAAAGAAATGTTTACTTCAAACAAAACGTATTTATTTATTTATTGGTTTTGATGGGAAAACCTCTAAACCCCAATTTATTTTTTTATTTTTTACAGTTTGGCTCTTGCACGGTAACATTTATTGTTCACTCAGTTCCATTTTAATACTGCCAAATGCAAAATTATGCACCTAGGAACAAGGACTGTAGCCATAGCTACTCAGTTGGGGACTGTATCCTGGAAAGCTGTGATTCTGAAAATGATTTAAGGATTAGTACTGGACAAGTAAATTAACACAAGCTCCCGTTGAATGCTGTGGGAGAAAGGGCTAATTAAATCCTTTGATGTAAAAACAAGGCACTAGGCTTTAGGACCAGGGTGGGTAACTGCAGGCCTGGACTTCCTTGGATACTGCCCCTGAGGCTCAGCACTGGGGAGCCCTCACTGGTGCCTCAGCCCCTCAGTCACCTACCTGCAGGGCTGGAGCACACAAAATCTACTAGCCTCCCCCCCCCCAATCTTCTAGTCTGGTGGGCAAGGGGAATGTGGGGAGTGTCTTTCTCCTTTTCAGTCAGGGGCTTTTACTTTGCTTCTCGCTTGTGTGCAGCCTTCGACCGATTTTTTGGTGTGTCAGCGGCCCCCAACCCAAAAAAGGTTCCCCACCCCTGGTGTAGGAATAGGGAGGTGATTTATATCTGGAATTAGTAATAAAGGAACATTGCATTCAACTCGGGTTTCAATATTTTAAAAAGGATGTTGAAAAACTGGACAGAGAAAAAGAGCCACTAAAATTATATGTGGACAGGAGAACATGCTTTAGGCCTGGTCTACAGTAGAAAATTAGGTTGTCTTAACTATGGTGGTCACTGGTGTGAAAAATCCACATCCCTTAGTGGCATTGTTAAGCTGACCTACGACCCTGTGTAGACAGCACTAGATCAATGGTTGAATTCTTCTCTCAACCTCTTTGTTGCCTTTCGGGGAAGTATATTATATATATAGGAGAGAACCCCTCCCATCAGGTGATGCCCAGAATGTCCAGAGAACACACCTGCCCATCACCCAAACTCCCTCCCCTCCATCTGCCTAAGGCTCTAGGAGAGAGTTTCGGTGGTGGGGGTGGTGGGGGGGGGGGGGATGTGGGCTCTGGGAGGGAGTGTGGGTGCTAGGTACAGGCTCTGGGCTGAGACAGGGAATTGGCATATACAAGGGATGCAGCTTTGGGATGGAGGTTGGGTGCATGAGAGGGTGAGGGATCAAGCTTTGGAGTGGAGATGGTGCAGGCTCTGGTCTGGGGCAGAGGGTGGGGTGCAGGAGTGGGTGAGGCTCTGGGAAGGAGTTTGGGGACTGGAGATGTGGGGAGAGGGTGTAGGCTCTGGAAGGGAGTGGAGTGTGTGAAGGGGTGCAGGGGGAGGGGGAAGGAGCAATGTTCCCTATAAACTATGCACTTGTGCAGCCACTCAGGAGAGATTCAAATGCTGCCCAGCTGATTAGCAGAGTGTCCATCATTAGGTGTTTTTGTTTCTACTAGCAGTGCACATTTGCACGCTGTGGTTCACATAAAAATTATTCCACACATGGCTAGAAAAGATTTGAGGGAACAGTGGTGGGGAGTGTTGCATTTACCTAGGGCACCCGCCCTGGCAGCAGCTCTGGGAGGGGTAAAGGTCTCCCTTGCCTCATACGTGCATAGGAATTGCATGGTGCCCCTAGGCAATTCAAAATGCCCTGGCAGTGCAGTGAAGCTAAAGCGACTTTCAGCTGCTGGCTCCGTGCTGCTACCAGCATGTCCCTGCTGCCCCTCAGTGTAGCTGGGCCTCTGTGACTTGCTCCCAAGTTCTGGTGCCGTAAGGCTGCATATGCTGGCGGTGGTGTGGAGCAAGTGGCAGGAAGACTGATGGAGAATCCACCATTTCCCATGGTTGTTTGAATCAATAGTTAATCACCCTCACTGTTAGAAATCTGTCTTATTTCTAGTTTGAATTAGTCTAGCTTCAGCTTCCAGGAGCTCATTCTTGTGATACCTTTTTATGCTAGATTAACAAATCCTTTAGGGTATGTCTACACTACCCCGCTAGTTCGAACTAGCGGGGTAGTGTAGACATACCCTAAAGGATTTGTTAATCTAGCATAAAAAGGTATCACAAGAATGAGCTCCTGGAAGCTGAAGCTAGACTAATTCAAACTAGAAATAAGACAGATTTCTAACAGTGAGGGTGATTAACTATTGATTCAAACAACCATGGGAAATGGTGGATTCTCCATCAGTTGAAGTCTTTAGACCAACACTGTACACATTTCTGAGTGAGAAAAATGAATATGCCATATCACTTATGGGTGGACACTTTTCACAGAAGGATCACACCTTTTAGCCCTTGTCTTCAAAGAAAACATGCACAACACCTTCAAAAGATTAACCGGGGAACTTAAACTCATAACTTTCTGAGACACTGAAAATCATGGTCTTAATAAATATCCTGGCTTTATAGTTCATTACAATACTGGATTTCTGCCCCTCCTCTTTTTTGTCCTATGACTGCAGGAGCATTCAATGGGCCCCTTCACCTTCACTGATCACTTCAAATCTGTGTTAACTAATTATGCTAAACAATATGATTCATATTATATTTAGCTATAACACTCTGAGGCCAGTCTACACCAGTGTTCCCTGTATGCTGAGCGATTGGGTGGGCACCCAGGAGAGATTCAAATGCTGTCCAGATGATTAGCAGAGCACCCACAGCAAAAACACCCAGCAGCATGTGTTTCTATTGGTGGTGCACATCCACACATGCCTTGGTAACATATGAAAATGTATTCTGCACATAGATGGAAAAAATTAGAGGGAATACTGACCTATAC